ATTAAAGAGACATAGCCACAGACCTGTGTGAGAAAAGCAAAACATCCACAATACCTGTCTGCCTAAGGACTACTCAATACAACTAGAAGCCATATAGCATGTATCACACATGACAGCTAACTGAAAAAATTGTTTTCTATTTGTGTGCATGTGCACACACAAAATAATTAATTCATCAAACCTTATTCTGATAGTTTTATTTTACCTCAAATGGTTGGTTGTCACAGGCTTTAAATGAGCTTCTTCACAAGTAATGACCCAATTACCTCTATGCTCCATTTTCACATAGGACACCCAGTCATTTGGTTCAACTCCACAGGTGTCCAGAGTGCACACCCCAGAAACATCAACAGATATCATTTATGGTCCTTTTTATGGTCTAGTGGTTTTGCCCATTCTGCTTTCCCATGATGTCTTAAACAAAACATCTTCTAAGAATTTATTGCAAATCCAACCATTTAGATAAAAACTTGTACAGACCTGTACAATCCTTAGATTCCAACAAAATTAGATAATAGAGATAATTGCATCGATCTTATTAAAAGCCACAGTTTTTAACTCTGCATAGACTTTTGCATTTGAGTTTTTAAAAAATCCATCACCCAGTTTTAGAACCCTCATGTGAGTACATTGAAAGAAATATTATAGGAAATGTAGTAAAATGAGGGCAGCTAAAATGCAGGTTATGTGACTAATAACAGGTTTAAGCAAGAGGCAACAATTTCCCATGAACAGCTATGAGAACTCATTTTGTATACTATGGCCAGTTTTAAACAGATCATTTGTAAATCTTATACACTTTGACAGTATAATTATGTGGTATTAAAGTGGCATATCCAAAATTGAATGTAGGTATTATGGATTACGTGTATCTGATTCCATCCTTAATCACATACAAAAGATAAACACAAAAATTGTTTGTTTATGTTCAACATAAGTTGTATTGCACTATATATGACTCTTAGACTTTGGATTTTGTTAATTTTCTATAATATATAGGTTTTATTTAAACCTAGCACTGCACCAGGCGCGTTCAGTGATTACTTCCTCCTCTCCCTGGCTGACACTGTACTAATCTGTGTACCAATGAGTTTGGCTGGAAAAGAAAAGCTGCATACTCATAGTTTTCTTCAGCATATGGTTGCTCATCCATGCTCTAGACATTAATAAATAGCCAATTTAACAGAATGACTGAGCTAGTTACCAGAGAAAACAATGCATATCCAATTTTAATAGCATCTAATTTGTGTTCAGAACCCAAGCCATAGTGTCCAGTCTGCATTTGCACCTCTGGTCTATCTTCACTGTTTGAGGAGACTATTCCCTCCCCCTGCTGCGTCCACGTCTTGTGGTGTGTTCCTGGAAGACCACAACGGAGTAATCAATGAGTCATGTGTCCTGATTACAACCAACTCCCTGTGGGGCTTCTTCAAAGGGCTCCAGAGCTGATGGAGAGAGGCAGCAGCATTGCCCTCCGTGGGGTAATTACAAGATAGGCTCCATGGTTTCTACTCCCTTACTGTGGAGAGTCAAGCTTAAAGACAGACAGCTTAACAATTCAGCCAGTCCTGTTAGCACAGTGGGAGGCTCTTCCAACCACTGACCACCAACTGGTGGTGCATACTATCAAAAACTTACAAGTCCACCCTCATGCACACACAAAAACATATGCAGTAGCACAGTGCTTACTAAGTGAGAGAAACTAATTAAGAGAGCACTGGCAAAGACAGAGCAAGACAGGAAGACATTTTCAGGTTTGGTGCAGCTGAGTATACATCTGTCTCCCCAGAAAAACAAGCTGGGTGAGTGTTTATGAGTTAAAAGGGCCATAAACCTAGACAAACACACTTAAGTATTGCCAGTCTGCCTTCAGGCCTTCTGTTCTTCACTCCTTCTATGTATGGTAATAATATGCAAGTATTTGTTTGTCTTTTGTGCAGGCATGTCTCTTATGGCTGAAATTCAAGTCCCTAAATCTTGTGGATGGCTATTTTATCTTAATATAGTCACATACAGTGCATCGGTTCAGGCCTTAACAGTATCCAGACAGTGTCAGTTCTCTCAAACAGCAGGTTTCATAATGTTATCTTTGTTAATAGAATATTTTTTCTTTTTCATATAAACACTATCTGTCCTGTCAGCTCTGTAATCGAAAATACAGCTAATTACAACTCTGTTGTAATTACTATTATTACAGTTTGATCAGCAGCTGCATACCTGCACCCACTGTTATGCATCTGTTGTTAATTTAGATGTGATCTTTTATCATTATGACTGTGAAAGAAGGTTAATTGGTGCTTAAACTGATGACTACATGGAAAGTTTACTGGGAGTGGTAGCATGGAGACTGTATGGCTGCTGGTGTCTTTGGGTGAAGACTCCAGTAAACCCCGACTGCACCGCAGCACACAGAGAGGGGTGATCAGAGACAAAACAGTTATTAGCTTCCTGTAATGATGGAGAATAATCCAGCAGTAATCTGTGTGTATATGAGTGTATATGTCTGTATATGCGTGTGTGTGTGTGTGTGTGTGTGTATTTATGCAAGCGAATTTGCTTGTATGTAACAAGTGGTGGAAAGTAACTAAGTACATGTATTCAAGTACTGTACTTAATTACAATATTGAGGTATCTGTACTTTACTTGAATAGTTTCATTTTCTGTTACTTCATATTCTGACTTCTCTACATTTTAGAGGCATATATTGCACTTTTTACTCCACTATATTTATTTTATAACTTTAGTTACTAGTTACTTTCACAGCCAGATTAATAAAAAAATACAGTATAATTATCAGACCTCACTGATCTATGGTGCAAAATTCACAAGCTACCCAACAATAATTCAAATTAAATGCATATAAGCTAGTTAAACCTAGCTGTGAAGTATACAATAATTCATCAGCAATTATAATACAATAATATGATAAACAGGAATATGAAATGTACCATTTTGCATAATGAGTACTTTTGCTTTAAGTAGTTAAATTATCTGTTGATGCTAATACTTTAGTAATTTTACTTAAGTAACATTTTGAATGCAAAACCTTTGCTTGTAACAAAGTATTTTTACACTGTTGTATTGCTACTTTTACGAAAGTAAAGGATCTGAGTACTTCTTCCCCCACTGTATGTAACCTACATTTGGATGACAGTCAGGTGATTCCTGTGCAGTTTGTACAGATCTTCTGAATAAAAAAACCTCCTTACAGGTGCTCTGCCAGCTAAAAACAAACTATGATTATACATAAAACATGGGCTTCTTGCATTACTGATTCCACTGATTCAGTGTAAATTTCAAAAAAAAAAAAGTTTTTGATTTTTCATTATCTGTTTTATGCCAGACTGTAATTGTATAATTTGTTGAATACTCTTTATGCCAAATAACTTTAAAGGGTTCAACATAATTAAAATAAATAGGACAATAGAGTCCTTGTGTAGCCATAACATCAGGGAATCGCCAGTCCATTCAGTATCCATGGTGTAACTGCATGCAGCCTGGCATGTCATGCAAACAAGAAGAAATCGTTATGTAATACTGCCATCTTGTGGACAAATATGGATCTATACAGTTTTTTGAAGCTATTTTTTATTTTAAACTATACAGACATTTTATAATTTTGTTTTTTTTTTTAAACTGGGTAAATTTGTGGTCTCTTCCAGAATGACAATATCCCCAACTATATGGCAAGAGGGGTCACTGAATGGTCTGATGAGTATAAAAATTATGTGAATCATGTTTTGGAAAAATGATGTTCATCCCTCCATAACTTTACAGGTGTAGTGGCACACAGGCCTGTATGTTTACATTATATTTTGTTTGTTTGATTATTATTTTGATTTATATGAAATAACTGACTGATTAATGAACTGACAAAACAATTTGTTTGGCACTGTATCTGAGTGTAGATGTCATTCTGCATGACTGATAAAGATTAATTAGATGAAGTTGTGAAATGCAACCATGAGCTTTGTTAGAATCTTGAGAAGCTGTTTACACTGTATTGTCTTCAAGTCTTCTGATTTAAGCTCATCAGCCTGAACTGAGAACCATCTCTGTCTCTGGTGAAAACAACAACTGACTACATCTACACTTTTATCATCATTAACAACAACAACAACAACAACTGCTGTATCAGAATGAACTACAACTCTGAAACTATGATAATGTTTCCAGTTGAACTCCAACTGAAGTGTGACTGCTACCGTTGTTTCTGCTCCTAAATCTGCTCTGAGCTGAAATGGACAGATGAAGCAACCAGGTACCAGTTTACCAGGAGACATTTTTGGCCAGCTTAGCTTGTCCTATTATTTTTTCATATTGTGTCTAAAGGGTCAGTAAAGTCTATTAATTCTCAAAGAATCAGACTGATTTTCATAGGTCAGTGTGTCACAAGTTTAATCATTTAAGCCAAACTGAACTCCACACAAACTCACCCACTTTAAATTATCTATTATATAGAAATGTGTTTTGTGTATTCACTTATTTAGAAAAATGACCTGGAAAAAAGAAAAAAACCATCAATAGTGTAAAACCAAATTTCTGGTGTGACTTGTGATTAATGACAGTGGTATCTAGATGACTAGTTTATAATTGGTCAGCTAGGTCTACCGAGACTGTGTTCGTACAGAATATGTTAATGATTTAGTTATCAGTGTTTAAAAAAATATATAAATCATACATACTTACTTTAAACACCCTGGTGTGTATGCATTTATATTTGAATATGGGTCCAATGTTAACAAACTACTAGAAGCAATAAATTGCGCATTACAGTAGGATACTAATAGGGTAACAATAATACAAGCAGTTGCGTTATTACTTATTTAAACATTTTCCATGCTGCCAGCTCTTAATGGGTGAACAATGGAAAGCCACTTTGTGTATAGTTATTCAGGACTATTACTGTAAGTATCATTCAGTGGAAAACCACTCTACTACATGGGGATAACAGTCGATTTTTTTATGTGTCTGACGGTCCCTGAAGGCAGCATCACGCCCTAATTTTTTTCCAACATCCGGGACCTTTGGAGCAAATCAGTGTGTGGAAACTGGGAAAGGAGGATAGTGGACAGCGGTGGAAAGGCGGACTGATGACAGCTGTCAGTGTGGGCAGAAATACCAATTTCTGAAGAGAATACGAATGGTTGTTCCCTAAAGCACCGGGAGAAAAACGACAGCATTTTGGCAGAATTTCGTGTCGCAACGGTAACATTATATTTTTTGAGGTGAGAAATATGACGGGAAGGGTCAGTGCCAGTTTACCGTTTCTCAGGAGAGTCGAAGTTAGCCCCGCTGGCTAACTAAGCTAACTACCCAACTAAACGGGTCCGTTAGCATTGCCTCCCAGGGATTTATCTTCGGTATTGGGGTCCACTGGCATGGGAAGGCCATGTCTGAATAGTTATCGTTTTTTGTAGACCGTTAGCTTTAGTAGAAGCACAGTAAGAACCTAGGAGGGTAACTTTTTAAATGAAAATTTCGGGAGGACAAAATGCTAGTTAGCATTCCTAGTTAGCTTATCGATAAACTGGCTAACCTTAATCAACGTTAATGTTAATATTGATAACTAGCGTTAGGTTTAGTTAACGCTAACAGGGCTGTGTATTGGTGTAACTCTAACTTTAACCGAGCTAAGGTAACGTTAGTTACTGTCCCCTTTCCCAAATGGACAGGGTATGGGGACATTAATGTTAGCCATGTTAGTTGATAGAATAGAACACTGTTAATGTTTCAGTAACGTAGCGTTAGTTGTAGTTGGATGATTAAGGTCAGCTAATATTAGCTTGTCATTCTGTTGTCATTTGATATGGGATTATCCGAGTTCATTAATTTGCAAGGGTTTCTCAAGTGATCACACTGGTAATTTTGAATTGTGGATCCACGGGGTTTAGGTCCTCAAACGTCTGCAAGCAGTGCTCATGCCTCCCTTAGGTCCTCCTGACTCAGCCGGTTAATAGGCAAGGCGTTTACTTGTCCGTAGATACAGTTACACCGATCTCTTGTCTTATTGGGCTTTTCCCATTATAAGAACCTAGAACCTACCTGTCAACTTTGATGTTGCCTTGATGTCGTCAAACACTCCATGGTGTTGCTGATGAGGGATACTGTTCACTAGCTGTGAACAATCTTTGGTTCAGATCAGTTTCAAATGCAAAATTAATATGATCGTTATCCTCTAGAGCACTTTACCTGTTCTTCATTGTAATGTTATGTTTAACAGGGTTTCATTGTTCTTGCTTGTCACATTAAAGCTGGGTCATGTCAGCAACAACGGTTTAGCAAAGCTCTTGTGGGTGCTATACATGAGTGAGTGACTGTTTTTGCAGGAATAGAGGCAAGAGATAGGCCATGTATGGGTTGCTAGTGAGATTACAGTGCATAAGTTCAGAGAGAGTAGAGTAATATGTAGTTGCATTAGGCAACCCAAATGCATATGTCAAAGTAAGCTGAATGTAACCTGGATGACTGAGAATCTGCACAGACATATGTCAGAGTACTGTAACATCTGGCTTTGTTGCAGTAATGTTCTTGTGCATCTTCTCTTTTCCTCTAGGTACTTGCATACAGTCCTGTGTATTTTCTGGCCTAATAAATCACAGGTGGAGCAACAGTCACAGAGACAGCATGGGGACACAGGGCTCTGGAAGAAAGCGTGCCCCTTTGAAAGATCGGTTCTCAGCAGAGGATGAGGCCTTGAGTAGCATTGCCCGGGAGGTAAGTTCATACCCCATGACATGCACCCTGTTTATCTATTTTGGGCCATATAGTGATGAACCGGGCCTCTATTCATGCAATGCTGAATTAATGCTAATGGGATTTTGTCCTGTTCAAATGTTATTTTTCCTTGTCCAGATAATGGGCCCCTCAAGGATAGAGATAGGTAGATGATTGATTTGTCAGTCTCACATGTTGTTAATTTGTCCACTGGCATCATCACATTTTAAATGAAGGGAACACAAGTAGACTGTTGAAACCATTACCAGCTCTTATATGATTGTCTGACACTGCACTATTCCTAAAATAGACCATTTAAACTAAAATGTATCGATAAAACAATGATAACGGTGCATTTACCAAAGCAACTTTCACATTACTTGCTCAATTCCCTGACCATGCAGCTGATGTCAGAATGGTCAGATCACGTGGGCTTGTTTCACTGTCTCACTTCTCTGTACAAGCACATATTACCTGTCATCATCACTCAGTGTTGGCCCCTCACTGACCAGTAAAAGTAAACGTAGAGAAGAGCAATAACAGCGAAGATGTCACTGGAGAGACGAGGATGCTTCAGGTTTATTGGACATTTATAGAGAAGCTTCTGATAAAGCCAAACTGGAAGGAACATATTGTAACTGAGCAGTTTTTGATTGAATTGCATAGCTTTACTATAGCACAAATAATGTTATTAATGACATGAATGTGAACCATCAACAAAGATTGACATTGAGAATTAAAATCTGTGATGTGAATATGGCTTAAGATTTTACATATTTGATAAATCAAGTGAAAATGGGACAGGGCTTGGTGTCTCTCAGTTATACCAGTTAGAATTTGACATATTTGTAAACTTACTGTTTTGTGTTGTATTAGCAATAAGCAGAGCATTCTACTGGATAAAGACAGAGTGCAGTGCATCATACTCAGAAAACCATGCCCGCTTCCACTGTTGGGTGTTGCATGGGGGCTAAGATGTGAGGCAGCAACAGGGAAACAGGGATCCTGACACTCAGTTTGTGTGTATCATGCATCTTGGTATGTTTGCATGTGCCTGTAGTTAGCTACAGTAGCTTACCAGCTCATAGCATGAGGGAGGAAAATTAGCATTATAATGCATTTATTTCCAGAATAGATCTAAAGGGAAGTTTGGGTGCAGTTGATGACTAAAATGATTATGGGACAAGTTAGCTGTTATAATGTTTTGCAAGCTATGCACGTTCTTCCTGACAATTCCTCACATTTGTCCTCTTAAATATTTGTTTTGTTTTTTGCCACCTTTTAAAACTGTACATCTGGGATCTTTGCCTTGCTGGTAGTGCATCCTACCACACTGCACCTTTTTAGGCATTTTCAGTTTTTTGTAAAAAGACCGAATTGTCAAAGAAGCACCTTCACTCAATACAAAGTTCATGGAGCAAGATGAAAAGATGAATAGTCCCCAACCCTACACCCCTGACATGAAATTAGGTAGATTACCTTTAATGTGCATGTAGCCTAATTTGACTTCTGTCAGTAATCACTGATGCATCATTGCCTTTACCTTCTTTCTAATTGTAAAGATGATATACAGACTATATTTAAAGATGGATGACATGACAGCTTTGCAGAAGTGAAGCAGCCACCAGTTGATTGTCCCCAGTGGCTGGTTGCAGTATAGGTCATAAACCCTGGCCCCTTTCAAAATTAAATCAAATACATTTTCCCCAAAGGTTATTTCTTTTGTTTTAAGTAGACATTGTCACACTAATTTATGTACAAGTATTTAGCTTAAAGACATGTTGCTTTGACAACAACACCAAATAAAGCAACATCAACCAAATCAGCCTATTTTAGTCATCTTTTCAAAGAATATTGGAATTTGGCTTAGATTTTAATACGGAGTGAAATAGAACAGCAGATGATGTGTCATGTGTCAAACTGTAGGCTTGCATACAGAGTTCTCTGTTTAATGCCCAGTTGATTAATCAACCAGGGACAGAGGTATAGTAAAATGTTATGCAACCAATGATGTTGACTTGAAGTGTGGTGGCCACAGTCGTGTCTGCAAATGAGCCTCTGAAGCATGGGGATATTTAGCTTTTGCTAATCAGTTTGTTTCAGCCCAAGCGAGTGGAGACAGCTGGGTTGGAATACAGAGAAACTGAATTGACGTAGAGTGTTTTCATTTGGGGGGAAAAAACACAAGCAGAGGAGAGAAGCTGCCTGGCCTGTAACAACATGCCCAGGGATTATTCCAGTTTGTTCCACCGCATTTTTTTTGCCCGTTTTCGGTATGCAGCAACTAAAAACATGAAACACAAAGATCATTTTCAGTTTTCAAGCTTTTGTGTGTTTTGTAGGTATAGATAGCTACATTGTCTGCAGATATCAATTGATTTCATATTTTTACAAGTAGAAATGTAAAACTGGATAAATCATCTTTTCATAAATGTTTGCCTGGGTCATTGTAAGAATGTTTCATCTGTGCTCTTTGAAAGCTGTGCAGTGCCTAATCCTTGAACACTAAGCACAGGCCTCCATTTGCTCTCTTTATAGTCATGCAGGCTGATCATAGAAACATGAGTCATCTGATCCTCCCAGTCAGGTCCTAAATCTGAATCTCTTTGTGGGGCAAACCAGAGATTAGAGCAACTGTGCAGGGAGTGCAAGTGGTCAGTGTCTAAATTGCAGCCTCTGTCTTGTGCTGGTTGTGCCTGCTTAAGAAAAGTTACGGCCTGCCTGCCTGCCCGTGCTTGGTACTAATCACTACAGAGAATGACTGTGAATTTGAGCTTGCACTGTCATCCAACCTCTTGTATTACCAGGCGTGCAGTCAGTCCCTTTTGATTACCAGCAGCTTGCTTACAAATCCAACAGTGGGCAAGTGCTACATGATCTAATACCTGTTGTTCCTCAGATTAGGCTCTAAAGGAGCTCATGGTACTTCAGCAAGGCAGTCACTTTCCTCAGTGTACAGAGGTAATGTATTAATGTGGAAGCTTAAGTTCATAGTCCATACAGTTTCATCTGTGATACTAATGGGTCACTGTTGTAAAGGAAAGTTTTGTACTTTCTCTTTCCATTCTCACTTGGAATACTGTTCAGACTGCAGAGAACAAACATATTACAGTGTGTGTTAGCAGCTGATGGACAGGGACTCACTTTGATCCAAATTCATCCTCTGATAATGTATGCTTTTTAACAGTTGTATCAGTATATTTAATACACATTAAGTTAATTTCTCATTAATTTAATTAAATTAAAACTCCAAAATGGTAATTTGTAATATAGTTTACAAGGATAAAAATAGAGGAAAGTATAAATTCTCTGCAGATCTTTGTAGCTACCTTAACTGGGGTATTACCTGGTATTTATCATATTCTCAGTGACTTTCTGAATGATCTAGGTGATGTCATGTGGATTGCTGGACTCTTATCGTCCAGAGTGCTAGAGGTGAACCACCTCTGCTCAGGTTACCCACCCAGCCACGTGATGTGGGCTGGATGGGTCAGGCTATAGATAGGACACAGACAGAGAGCTCAGCTGAGCTGCTGTGCAGAGCAGGCCATACTGTCAGACAGCTCAACAGGTGCAGAGCACAGGGCCAGCTCTCTCTTTCTTTCTCATTCATGCTTTCTCCTTATCCACTCACAACTTTACTTCCCTTTTCACCTTTTACAAAGCATGTTTCATTGTAGGACCATACATTTATTCTAAAATCATGTTGAGCAACCAAGGAAATGGTTAGAGACTTGTCCCTCACGGCATGTTACTTATGCAAAACATGTTTAACCGTAAATGTTCTTGGGTTTTGGTTTGGTTTTTATGCAGCTTTGGAAAGGACATCTTATATATTAAACTTATTCACCCACAAAACCCTTTGGAAATATTCCTTTGTTCACATTTATTAGAGATCAGAAATGTATATTTTCATGCAATTGTCATCAGTTGTAATTATTGTACCTCACTCATCACCTCAACTGTCCCCATCCAGGGTCATGGTTTGCATGCATTATCTGTGTTGGGATTTTAAGATAAGCTATCTTATCAGGATGAAACAAGTTGGTTATTGTACTCCTATTCATCTCAAACTACAGCATAACTAAATACGGGTTTCTTTCTACTGTTGAGCTGTAAGTCTCAGCCACAAGTGTGTTTTTTGTTTTGTGTAGCAGTTTGTGGTCATGGTTTTGGGGCTCACTAGATTTTAAGAAGTCACACCACACTAGATGTACAGTTAAAAAGAACCTGTGTTTTTGCTGGTTTTTCAACATTACTATAAAATAGCATTTGTTCACTCCAGGCTCTAACTGAAACAGGAGTGGTCTATACCCACAAGCCTTCTATTCTGGCAGTGCAGATAAGAAATTGCTGGAATGCTGACAGTGTGTGTCTGCAATGAGATACTGTGTGCACACACACACACACCACACACAGTATTTATGGACTGTATTTTGGTTCAAGATAAAGAGCTATACTCCATGAGCAAGTGTGCCAGTCTTTGCTGGTGAGATGTTTTAGTTCTGAGCATGTATGGTATGTAAATGGTAAGATGGGCACAAAGGAGTAGTCGTCCACACAATCACCTGTGTGACTCCTCAGGACTGCGTAGGGGTCGCTCCTTCTGCTGACATACTCTGTAAAATTAACTCCTGTTCACATTCTGGGGGCAAAATTGTATGGTGATTCTTCTGACTGTCCCCCAGAGGAGAGTCTAGTGGGTTAAGTTTAGTTTTGATGTTAACTTGTTTGTGTGTCACAAGGTTCAACGACTCAGAGATTGTGAAATTGCCTCCATGTTTACTGACTGAGGAGACCCACACTATTGTGACTTGTTTCCTCTTGATACTGTTCTCTGGCAGTTTGTTTGTGTGCTGTTGGCATCTCCCCCATGAGGGCTTTAAATTAGCCCTTGCAAAACTGATGGTTAGCGCATTGTGTTGGTGATGAGGCGTCCCAAACAATCATTCTGGACCACTGAGCTCACAGGGGAAATGGGGCAGCTAGGGCACACCGTACAGGATGTTGTTTTATGTGAGAGGAGAAATCAGCCAGTATTAACTGTTACTGATATTATTCTTACATAAGCTTATAGGATGAACAAACATTTGATAGGACCAGATATGTACTGAGTGGAATACCTCACTAAATTTGTCCATGAATAAAGTATGTAATTGAGTCAGTCACTCTAAACTACCTCGCATACACACTCTTGAAGATGTTGTTTGCAGTGCTGTTGAATTATATTTTGATATACTAATGTTTCTGTTATTTTGTCCACCCTATTTATGACAATGAGGGTATGCTAAATAACAGAAAGGCCCTTCTGTATAATGCAGTACAGTTCAGCACCAAGGACTACGTCCTCTAAAATGATCACACAGTTGAATCAGCACTTCTCTAAGATGTCTGAACAACAAAAACTAAATATCACCTTCCAAAGGGAGTATTTATTTTAGGACTGTTGAAAAGAGGTTGGTTAATGTGGTTACAACTAGGGGAAGAAGTTTCATGCTCTTAGGCCTTGACAACCACCCTTAAAGGATAAGGCACGGCATTCTATATATTAATCGTATTTTAAACACTCCTCATACAGAGACTAAAACTAATCATGATTTTACTCACTGTTAATGACTTCCAGTTGGTCAGTCCTGGATTAGATTGTTCGCCTTTGCCGCAGACCTTCGTTGTTGTTCAACAACTGTTAAAAACACATCAGAGAAACACACCGCTGGACTGGGTGACATGTTTCCTCATTATGAAACACAATACCCTCTTTTTTTTTTTAAATGTTTCCCCAAAGGCTCAGAACGGCCCCAACATTTTCCAGCATCTGAAGTAAGCAAGAGTCCCATGCTCATGCACAAGATCTCTGGAAGTTCTTAGGAAACATGCAGGTATGGGGTTATGTAATGAAGAAACATGTCTCCCAGTGCAGTGCTGTGTTTCCCTGATGTTTTTTTAATCGTTTTTGAACAACAGTGGAGGTCTGCGGCACAGACAAATAAGTTAATCCAGGACTGGCAGACATTAACAGTGAGTAGAGGCAAATCGTTGGTAATTGTAGGCTCTGTATGGGGAGTGTTGGAAATACTGTTAAAATAGAAAATGACCAGCCTTGTTCTTTTAAGCAGCTGTGGAGAAATGAAATCAGCCACTGTGTACTTGTTGCAGTGTCTCCTTTCTTTACAGGAAATGGATGACTTGAGAACCCAAACATACTCATGTAAATTTTACTGTGTGATTGTTTTTTGGACAAATCCATCACCCTTGCAGTGTTTTTTTCCATTCATGGCTAACAAGTGTGTTCATGCTATGTTTCACAGGCGGAGGCGAGGCTGGCAGCAAAGAGGGCAGCTCGAGCAGAGGCCAGGGATATTCGAATGAGGGAACTTGAACGACAGCAGAAAGAGGTATCTAATGCATAGCAGATTGGCAAAGATTATTCACCCCATTGAGGCTCATAATGGCCGCTCCCAACACAGATCAGCTGTAGATCATTGATATTGGCCTTACTTTCTTTCCTGTTTTTTCTCTTTATACATAAGCTCTTTCTAGTTAATGATAGTAACTGCCCCAGTGTTTAGAAGATGCATCCATAGACACAGGTGCTGAGGAGCTCTATGACTTTATGCCTTGACATACATTTTTTGATTAATCTGTCATTTCATAGACACTGGGGGAAAAAGAAAGTACTGGGCGTCTACAGAAGAAACCAAAATTTCTATTTGTGGAGTAAATGTCACCCAGTTTTTACTTTTCAGCAGTTTTTTGAGTGAAGTATGATTGTTTTTCTTGGTTCTTCCTCCCTCTGTCCAGCTCTCTTACCACTCATCCAGCAGTAGCAACAGAAAATGGGGTCAGATCCACCAGTGGATGGTAGGCGAGCCAGAGAGAGAGTGTGGCAGCCTCTCAATCCACTAACACAGCCTGTTGTGTGGGATTGATCCCCAGTCAACCCTGACCATTTAGCTACACTTGACTCACACACTAAAGTGTACCTCACTGCGGAAATATGCCTTACCAGTGTATTTGCTTTGGAGACTGTGTAGTCTGTGACTGTGTAGAGCAGGCTTTGGCCTTTGAATTTATTTATGGTGAGTGAGTCTGCATGCAGGAAGGTGATTTGGAGGTTCAGCTATACTCCTCTAAACCACCAGCTATTTCAGAAATGATGGATGGTTTTGAATATTGATGAACTGCTTTTGCATGAATGTATGTGTATTGGGGATGAGCAATGATTTTCAAATAGTCATTAAATCAAAAAGATTTTTTTGAATATTTCATGTGACTATGGTTTTGTCTTTAAAAACAAAAGCCACTGTTTTCCCTTGCTTTTATCAGTGCTTGGAAATAATGCAATAATGAGGTCAGTATATCGTTTGACTACAGCACCAAATACAAGCAGCATAAACATGTAGACACTTCAGCCATCAAAAAGTTCAAGACGTTGTTTGGCACAGTCATTTGATGAGTGTTAAAAAAGGTTTCTCTGACCACGCATACATGGACAGCGCTTATTTGATCTTTGAATAATTGTTGAATAGTTCCCAGTGAATATCAAATAGGATTTTAGCTTGAAATGCTCATCCCTAGTTGGTATGTCGAGGTGCTAAAGAGAAGGAGAGAATTTGTGTCTTTTTAACAGAACACGAGACAAAAATGTGCATATAGCTGACAGTTGTTTTGCATGGTTTGGACTTTGTATAGCAACTGCTGAGCATTGCAGTGCCTTTATCCACCCTGTGGCTGAGCTTCTCTACTTCTCTGTATAATTCTTACCAACTTTCCTTCCTGACTCTAGGCTGACGCAGAAAAAGCCAGAGCCTCTAGTAATAGTAGATCCAGCAGCCGTCATCGCCGGGTCTGTATCTCCCTGACACACGTCCTCTTTGTCTGTTCATATTTCCTTTCTTCTCATTTAATCCTGCAGTTAATCTCTCAACACTCATGTACTTGTCTGTCTGCTTTTCTGCTGTGACTCTGTTTCTACATCAACAGGGGCTGGATGATGATGTCATGTCAGTCTGCAGCCACAGGGTGTGTACATAATATATATCCCGTCAGTTGTACGAAGTCTGTGCTATCATAGGTGCTCACTGATGTGTGAAAGCCATTGTTTTTAAATAAATACAGTTGGGTGAAATACTTTTATTTGATTGAAACACAACATACTTTACTTGTCCTAGAGAAGATTTATCTTAATGTTTGCCTTTGTCTGTTTCCTTCTTTGAAGTCAACTTCATCAGCAGCACGTGACTTGGGCTCTGGCAGAAGTCAATCCAGTTTCCGTAGAAAAGATGCATTGGTGCGTTGTCTGTGCGCGTGCATGTGAGAGCATAATGTACTGCACATTTGTGTGGAGTTTGGAAGCAGGTTGAATACCTGGGTTTTCAGTATGTAACTGAAGGTTAGATCTGGCTAAGAAGAGCTGACTTGTATTCCAAAGGAAGTGCTCAATGATAACCAGCTGTTTTCACAATCCAGGTTTTCTTCCATCCTATGAGTCTCTCTCATCTACTTCTGCTCCAGTTTTTTTGTATCAGAGATTAGTATGCGTCAGATTAAGTTATAGCTGGAAGGAGACAGTAGTGAGAAGACTGTTGGAGATGTTTCACTTTCCACACTGAATTTCTTCCCTGTCATTCTTAAATGTGGTGGTGTATGATTCTGATAGACTGACACTAACATTTGATTCAGTATGGCCACAGAAACGCATAGTCAAGTTTAATTGGGGTACAGAGGTGCTGAGAGTCTCCCTTTGTATCCAAAGATACAAAATAGTTCACCTTTAGGTTGACGCTGCTGCACTTTTCCAACATATTTTGGGCACAGTGCCACTGCCAGATGTTTTTGTTCCTTCGCTATGAGCTTGGCAAGGTGTAGAAAAATAAATGGTTTGCTTTGTCAGCTGCTGTATTTGAAGGCTTAACCTACTGAACTGTCTACAGTCAGTGGGACACTAGACAGTAAAAGCTAACAGCTGTTGATGTTTTAGGCTTCTTCTGATCATAACTCTTATGACTCCTGTCTCTCTTCAGTCTGATGGCCTCTCAACTAGCTCCACCCTCAAGACGTCCCGCTCCACTGTATGTAACTGTGTTGGTAGGCCATTCATCACGGCGTCACTGTGTTTCTTCTAGTCCTTTGTCTTATTTTTGCTTTTTCTGGCTGAACAGAGTTCTGTGTACAATGACCTGCATGGTCGTAAAAAGACTTCATCCAGCTCCTCGAAGAAGGACCTGCTGGTCAGTTTACTCTCTGTTGGTGTGTCTGCTGTAAGCTCAAGTATAGAGGCAGTGTAGACTTGCTTTTTATCGACTTTAGCCCTGATAAGACTTACTGTTGCCTTGTGAAGTGTCGCATAGTATTTACCAGTGCCATATTGAATGTTTCCGAAATAGGTATGAGTCAGACACTTGACGATAAGATTTGTTTTGTCAGTGTTTATTTGAGGTTTATTTGTTGTGTTGTTACCCTTCCAGACTGGGCTGTACCATGATCAAAGGAAGTACACCAGCCTAACGAAGACCAACGCACTGCGTCTGCCCTCCACTTCCACCTATCAGCCTCGGGTTGGTCGTCCTCTGAGTGCTGTGCAACTTTTAGCCCTTTTGTACAAATCAGAAGAAGCTGTATACTGCTATATGCGTGGTCTAGTTTATGGGACATTTATATTTTTAACATAGTTATATAATTGCCATTGGGGTATTTTTGTTTGAGTGTCATAAAAACATTGCAGCAAAGAGAGAAACATGGTTTTGTAGCTTGTGTAGCTGATGTTCTCTTGTATGTCAGAAAGCCTAAGCTTGACTTTCAGACTGACATTTGTTTGCTCTAGAACAGTTCTTCTAATCATTTGAATTTATGTAAATCACTTGACTGACAAAGGCGGTGCTCCGCCAGTATTAAAACAGGCAACAGGGATAGTATCATCTCACCTGACTTTTCCACTCAACACTTTAAGCTGATGGGGCCACCAAGTTAGAGGGTCAGCAAAGCATCCATCTTGTTTCCACTTACTGCAGCTCTTTAGTC